AAACAATGAAAATATAATAAATTCAAGTGATGCCCGTGTATAACAATATTATTTAAAGAATGTCGAATAAACAATGAAAATATAATAAATTCAAGTGATGCCCCTGTATAACAATATTATTTGAAGAATGTCGTATCAACAATGAAAATATAATAAATTAAAGTGATGCCCCTGTATAACAATATTATTTGAAGAATGTCGTATCAACAATGAAAATATAATAAATATCAAGAGCTATCTTATATTTAAAAAAAAAGATAAAATAAAACTAGATTGTTGGAATGAATTCATATTTTGAAAACCAAATAGAGATCTAAAAGAGTTTTGATTTTTGTCGTCAGAATCTTTAAATCTACAAGAAGAACATATCAAATATCGTGTTTGCCTTTTTAAAAATATATAAAATTATGTAAGATGAACATTTGAAATAGCGCGTTTATCTATGTTAAAATATTTTAGAACTTTGTGGCAAATATTTAAAATATCGTGTTTGTATTTTTCAAATATTTTAAATATGTAGTATGAACATTAAAAAATATCGTGTTTCTCTTTGTTTCAAACTTCAAAATCGGTGTATGAATATTTAAAATATCGTGTTAGCCGTCAATAAAATAATTAAAATCTCAAGATGATTGGAAAAAAAAAAACCCAGATTATCGTCTGCTTAAAGCCGCAAGTTTGAAAATTAAAAACTCTGTGATATGGTAAAAAATTTCAAACTTTACAATGATTATTAAAAAATACGCGATTGTCGCTAAAACATTAATTTTACCGTTGACTTACAAGAATCACACCCTTCACTCAAAAGGATCATAGTAACCCTTTTCAAAACATATACCAGTTTTACTTACAGCTTTCAATTTCAACGGTGCACAGCTGTCGGTCCATTGGGAAGTACTGAAGATCCATAGGACAGCTAGATGTTACTGTTAGTCTGAAAGTATAAGAAAAATAATAATAATAAAACATCGTACAGATTAGGCCTAATGTCCCTGTTAACCCGGAAACGTATGAATACGGATTATGCCAAATATATTGGTTAACATTCAATATATAATTAACAAAACGTCACATTTAATATAAACACAAGCGTTCTCAAATAACCATTACGCTGAGTATTACTTTGAAATAGGGAAAATTCAGGTATGGCTACGTGTAACGTTTATTATAAAGATAGGTTTTAGGCCTAATGGCAGGTTAATCTGAAATGTGTAACTGGTATAGGATTGATTTATATACACATTAACCTAAAATGTGTAACTTGTACAGGATAACTTTAATGAGATATTTATCTGAAATGTGTAACTGGAATAGGGTAGCTTTAATGGCATTGTTACGTCTCCGTTCGTTAATTGATTTTCCGTAACTTCGTTCCGACGAAACTTTAGCGACACGAAGTCCTTACTTAATAAAA